CTAATTAGATATTTTTATTTTAAATACTATTATTATCTAATAAATAGCAGCTTAAAACAGCTGTTTAATTATTAAATATTTTAATAATTTTTTTTATTATTAATTTTATTATCGGAATAATAGCTTATTATTTTTTAGATTTATTTATTTATATAATTAATCTTAGGATTATTTTAATATTATAAACAGTATATATAGAATATATTATTTAATTTAATTTATTTAAACTTATTTTAATTTATTTAAATTTATTTTAACTTATTTATTTATACAGTAGCTTAATATTCTAAGTAAATAGATATACTTATATAAATTATCTTAATATTAAAAAAAATATATAATAAGATTATTATATAATAGACTTTATAAAAAAGATTATACTAATAATTTAAAAAAATATTAGAAATATTTAAATATATAGATATTATTTTTTCTACTGTTTTTTTAATATAGATATTAAATATATAAAATATATATTATTTAAGTTCGAAGTATATAGATTTTTATTTAAAAACTTTTTATATTTTTTATTTTATAAATCTATTCTATTAAGAAATATTTTTTTTATAATTTATATTTTTTTTTAATAATTATTTTATTTAGAGTAAATATTTAATTTTAATATAACTACTTATACTTTTTTTTACGTACAAGTAGTTATATTAAAGTTAAATATTTATTTTAAATAATTTTCTATAAAAACTCTTAATAATTTTTATATTTTAACTATCGAAATTATCTAATAAATATTTATAATTATTTTTATATTTTAATTATTAAAATTATTTAATTTATATTTTATAGCTATATTCTACGGTTATAATCGCGGCTATAATTTAAATAAAATATTCTAGAAAAAATTAAATAATTTTATATTTATTTATTACTTAAAAAAATCTTTTAATAAATAATTCTTAAATAACAGTATTATAAATAATATCCGGATTATTAAATATTTTTTTTAGATAGAATAGCTGTTAAAAAAATATAACTTATAGAAAAAACCAGCTAGCTGAATATATAAATAATATAATAAGAATTTAAAATTATTTAAACTTATTTAGATTTATTTAAATTTATTTAAACTTATTTAAACTTATTTAAACTTGTCTAAACTTACTCGGTTAAAAAATTAGTATAGTCTATAACTAAAATACTAGCAATATTTTATATAAATTTATAAAATTATTGAAAATTATTTAAACTTATATAAACTTATTTATACTTATTGAAACTAGTTTAATTTTATTTAAACTTATCCAGCTAATAAAAATTAGTATAGTTTATATAAAAATTAATTTATATTAAATATTTAAGACGCTGGCAGGACTAATATATTAAAAAATTATAGAATTATTTAAAATTATTAGAACTTATTTAAAATTATTTAATATTATTTAAACTTATTCTAACTTACCCAGCTAATTAGAACCTAAAATTCTCGGAAAAACAGCTATTTTTTTAATAGGCGGTAACCTCTACGGTAATCTCTACGGTAAGAATACTTAACCAGCAAAGTTCTATTTGCTGAGTGGCCGCAATAGTCTTCTGTATTTAATCTCCCGTACATAATAACCTTTGTATTTCACATTACAAGAACCAAACAACTACATAGTATGTACTTCTCTCCACATCTACCCACTTGTATACCTACAGCATGTGCAGGAAATACGCGCCAGGCACACAGCCAACCCCTCCAACCTCGAACCACTGGGCATTACCCATACAGTTTCCTTCAAAGGTTAGCGTGTACTGTACTGTTGAGTTTCCGTCAGCTGCATCTGCGTTCCATTAAGGGAATTGATGAGCGATAATTGACGATCGATGATAGGTGCTGAGTGCTGACCTTACCGCCGCCGTTCAGCCCCGCGTTAACACTCACAAAACAATAAGTTATTTTTGGAATTGGTTTTCCACGTCTCAGTTCTTTTTCTGTCTCTCTTCTGGCCCCTTAATATATGCACTATCTTCCCTTGTGTACATCTGAAAAGTCTTCACATTTTTGGATGATGGCAATACTTCACCACGATGAAACTCACTCTTGGTGAATATCCCCTCGCCTACACATCTAATCAGGCGGATCTTACCAGTTGTCGGAGATATACTGATTGATACCCTCTGTAGCCCTCCTCTGCAGTGCAGCCCTGCTCTTCGATACTAGCCGCGCAACCCAGTTCCAAAATTTCTACCCCTTCTACCGGACCACCTTAACCACCGAGCGACCTGACTGCCACGCCTACTACAATGCCTCCCTCGCCGCCCGCAACACCTCCGATCCCAACACCTGCAAGCACATGGCCGAGTGCCTGCTCGAAGGCGCCGGGGAGGTGAACAAAGGGGATTGGGCCTCGGCGACGGTGCTCCTGGGCCTCACCCCGTCGATTCTGGGGACGGTGGCGCCGACGATCGAGGAGCGCCTGCAGCTGCTCCGCGAGCGGCCCATCCTCGGGTTTCTGGGCATCCTGGCCGCCCCGTCGCTGACGTTCGCAAGGCCTTGGGTCAAGCTCGACCATCCGGGCGACAAATCGACCACGTGGCTGCGTGAGCATACTGCAGGCAGAAACCCCAATGTGTACCGGAGTGTGGTGCAATATCTCGCGGTGGCGCTGGCCGCGGCTAACGTGCTGGAAAACGCCATCCGGCTCGGTAGCCAGACGATCATCAGCTGGAAATGCAATATGGGTTTTCTGGAGTTGGCGTGGGTGTTCCTCGCGCCGGTGCCATCTCTCGTGATGCTGGTTCTGCCACCCCTCGTGGCGCTGACAAACTCGGGGCTCGCGGTGCTGGGGGACTGCCTGGGCAGGCTTCTTTCCCGGGAGCATTCAGACACAACGGCAGGGACCCCCACGAATGTTGATGATCGAAGCGTGGATCTCGGCGAAGGGTTTTACCATGGGTTGGCGAACATCTGCGGGCTGGTGCATGTGGTGTATGGAACGATCGTGCTCTCCTCCGTGCAGTTCATCGGCACCTTGGACGCGCTCGGCGTGGTGGGGCGGTTCACAGCCTCTGCACTGGTGGCGCAGTTCATCACCATGACCCAGCTCTATGGCGGGTCTGGCACGAAGGAGAAGCGGAATGAGGAGAAGACAAAGCAAGATGGTAGCCCATGGCTTGATAGGACAGGGGTTACTTCAAGGGTATACGGCCTAGAGGGGGATGATCGTTCATCAAAGCAGACCCCGTCAAATGACCAGAAGGGAGCGGATGTCGAGAACCCGGTCTGAAGTTGGGGGATCGGACATACCAACATGTCAGCATCTTCACGATTCTTTGCTTCCCCCTGAAATGTCAAGTCCAAAATGCACACCTGCGCAGATTGTCGGTGCGTCCGCTGGTTGATCAAACCGAGAATTCTTTCTACCTGCAGAGTTCCTGACATCTGTTAGCATGATGAACAATCGTCTGTTAGTCTGGGCATGCATTTGTCGTAGGGATCAACATGGAATCTGTGTTTGACAGGTTATCGCAGGCGTCCCTAGCCGTCTGGCAACTCACAGGCCGGATATGAAAAAGCCAGTACAAAGACGCAGGCCAATGGAAAACTGCCGGATCTTTCAAGCGGAGGAAGTGAACTGCACAGTCAATGGAACGCCGTATCTTCAAGGTGGTGGTAAATGTTGACTGTGATGGGTTTACACCTGTCTTTGTTAGCCGAAGTGGAAGGTTCCTGTTATTCTTCACGTAAGCCCCGTTTGCCATCAGATGCTCTTCTCGATCTCTTTCAAGCGGCCATTCTCTTAGCAAGGATGAACAAAAAGAGATTCCTAAGATATGAGGGACGGATGGAAAGACAGTTAGGCTCATTTAGGTTTTATGGTAACAATGGAGCTAGGCGCTCGTATAACTTATCGTGGATTAACGCTCTGTCTTCCATTTCCGGCGTTCGGGCAGGAAACCTAAAACAACCTCCCTGCCGCCTGGAACGAGTGCGAACACGAGAGGCTTTACTGCGCCTCCTTTCTCCTTTATTTGTTGAATTTATTGTTTTTCCAACATGAGCCGGAGTAAGATCGACGTGGTTTCCCTGGTAGAGGACTTGGCATTGAATTGGAGAGCTCTCTATACAGCTCAGATCTGTCCGGAACTGGGCCACACGGCAATGTTAAAGTATTTCAACTGACAAGTCACAGGCACGGTGTGTATCTAATCATCTGAGTGAGATTGGGTGTCAAAAGGTCTTAGTAGGAGCTCATCCCAAGCAGAGCCTGAAGAAATTCAAAAAAGGTGGGCTGTGACCGTCGTGTTCACCCAGCAAGAGCCTTGCAGAGAGAACTGCATTCGGCGTTAATCAATCACATAACCGTCGTATTGTCTTGAACACACGCAACACCAGCACAATCTACTTCGCATCCGTATCGACCCGGGGGCTTCGTGGTCAAGACTTTGACGGCTACGAAATAACGTTTATTCCAACTTTGTTTAACCTCGTTTAACAATGGTGTTCTCCCGTGGGTATTCCAGCATTTAGGGTTCGGCCACCCGTCCAGCCACCACGGTTGGAGATGCGAGCTTATCGAACTCGACTGGTTCGCTCCTCTGGTTGACTGCCATCGAGATTCCGATTCTCTGGGCGCATCGTATTTGGCGGAGGGCTTGTTTGAATGCGTCACATGAAAGCCAGTCGAGTTTCCGCTACTCTTGCTGACTGAGCTGTAGATTGTAGCTGGTACGAGCGACGCGTCACGCGCTTCGGATCAATGCGTTCCAAATGAACAAGGAGAGGCTGGTAACTTCCTCGGAACCCTATGCTGATCGGGTTCTTTCCTTGGCATGACCTAACGACTGTCTCGTCGTCTTTGTCTAGCAGGCCTAGCCCCAAGCTATGGCAGCTATGAGTAGTTGTCTAGAACCTCGTGGTACGTGACTGCTAGGGTATATAGATGCTGCGATTCTTCTTGCTCCCGACACCAGCACATCGCCTGGGTGTCCTAAATACCTGCGTACTACAGAACCATTCAACCTGAGCAGCCAAACATCATCCACTCGACAAGCGCAATATGTACGTCAACATTTTGAGAATTCTCATTGTGGTCTGGCCTCTTGTCCTGGCCGCTGTCGAGGCGCAGGATAGTCAATGTTCCGCTCAGAGATGCTATAGAAATTGTGTGGATGAGAGTGATGAGTGCGTTGAATACTGTCGGGGGACAGCAAGGACGATGCGGAATCGAAAGAACGCGGGGCTCTTCCGGCAGCGGTGTTTTCTCGAATGCGACAAGGAGATCAAGGGCTGCTTCAAGGGGTGCGACGCTGCATGTCCGCGTCGGGTCGAAGGGCCTCTCGAGACCTGTAACGGCAATTGTTTGCAGACTGCGCTGGACGGCGTGGACCGATGCTTCAATGGGACCGCGCCCCGCCACGACTGCCTTGCCGCAAACCAGGAAAACTGGCAATCTTGCGAGGAGGATTGCCAGGACAAGGCACCACAGACGCAGGCACCGGCCACCCCTGCTGCCACGCCTCCACCTGCGGCAGATTCCCCTCCACCAGCGCCTACGGAGACCCCATTTGAGTCTGCCATCGGATGTGGGGAGTTTGATCGATATCTGAACGTGTACGGCGCATGCCTGGCCCCATGCTTTTTTAATCTCTGTTTGAATGGCGAGAAGTGCAGCGGAGAGGCCGGGAAATGCGGTCTGGGCAGCGAATGCGAGGCAGCAAACAAACAGTGTACAAGCGACGGGGTCAAGACTTATGAATCGTGTGTACGTGCGTGTCAATCTTAGGCAACCCATCGATTGGCTTTGTGCTATCTAGCAATTGCTGTGATGGGTGGTTGCCATTGTGGAGATCGACGACGGATCAGTGTTATCAGTGTATTCATTGCGCGTAACTAGCTCAACCGCATATCGAAACTGTGCTGTATAAGCTTCCATGGTTTGACTGTATTCGGTTCTTGAGTTTCTATCCTAGGGGTGGTGTAGTAAGCAGCTGGATGGGTGAAGGGCACCAGGGGCTACAACGCCGCGAGGAACGGAGGTTTGGGAATCCTTGCTTTGTTACCTATTTTACCTCACATTTCTACCTTCTTTGAACAGCGCTTCCATAGCCATCTCATTCAATTCCAACGAGTTCACTAACTTGTTCGGGCTGATAAGGGTTATTGTCAGGCATTCTGCCGGCAGAACGGGGGGTTACTTTCACATGGCATAAGCACATTGCCTATAAACTAGTCTGTATATGAGTCTAGGTCAGGGTAAACAGTGCTGGGAACCTTATAGTCTCCTGCAACAAGACTCATGATCGAGTTCCAGAGATCTGTGTGCAGCAACCTGATTGATGCGGGTTGGTACAACGCATCATTGACTGTAACTACTAACTGTACGGTAAATTCCCGTCTTGAAAGGGGCCTGAGTTGCTTGAGGAGCGCCACGGGAAGTCCTGCGTTGCCCTTGACCCCCTCAGCACCGAGCACGAATTCACTTCACTCCAGATTACAGATTACTGACAGCTGCAACGCTGATTGCGATTGCTCGTTCGACAGGAAAAAACTAGCTTCCGGGCCCCTCCTGGCAGCGTTGGATCAACAGACTCTCCCTCAGACAACTGATACTCCATTCTGGATGTCAATCTGGTGCCATTCGATCCATACCACTCAGCTAGCGGTCGCCCACTTCATGAAGCATGAAAAAATCCCCACCACCCCGGAATCGTCAAAACGCCGATCTGGTCCCCGGAGAAACTGGCTACGCTATGTGAGTTCCACCTCTATGACCATCCCGGTCCATTGACCGGCCCGGAAATGCTGTCTGTCATTTATCGGTGGCGGAGGACCAGCTCCTGCAACTGGTGGGTTCGGAGGAGTGGTGGAGGTCGTGGTTTCATGACGGCGTGAGCAAAGGATCTGTGAAATTTGGGACCGAATCTTCACGGGAGGCAGATGCACGTGCGTGACTTCACATTATCATTAATATAAATTAATCAATCAACCCTGCCGACAACGGTGATGTTCGCCACCAATCGAATCGATCTTCCCCCCGGCATGCATGGCGGTTCATCTTACCACTGGGTGGTGGGTAGGCTTTGAGTGCCTAAGTACGGTGCCTAATGGTCTGGTTAAATGAAGTCCATCCCCTCCATGGTAGGAGAGGCATTGGGATTCGCTTGGCTATTGGAGGAAGTATTGGTATGGTGTGAAAACGATCCATCAGCACCACCCATGATTGAAAGAGGGGTTGAGTGGGTAGGATAGTGGCCCTGAAACATCTTTATTACTCCCAGTAGTTTGTTATTCCCTCAAACTTTTTCTTTGGTCGCATTCTAGCTCCAAGCGTCTGATCTTACTACACAATCCCACAAGTCTCCTCTTCCCGAGTCATGATGTCTCTGTTCGCCGTCCTCTGTCTAGTGGCAGTTCGTGCCCTGGCCACTGAACATCTTCTTCCTTTCAAACGCGCCGCAGACGTGAGCCAGACCGGCATTGCCCCCAAGAAAGACATCACGCTGTACTACCAGGCCACGAGTCAGCCCTTGACAGCCGCCACGGTGGATGCTCAAATGAAACTGCCAACGGTGGTCCTGGAGGAGATTACCACCATTTCCAGTGTCAGCTGCTCGGCCGAAGCAGTGGAAGTCGCCTTTGCCAGCACGGCTGACTATCAGCGCAGTGTCTCCGCATGGCCCTCGTCCAGCTTCATTCTACTCACCAACCACCTGGGCAACTGCGACGCGGAGAACGAACGCGGCGTCTACCTGGTCGACTCAAGCACCGTGGGCAGCGCCAACAACACCATCACGGCCCAGACCACCCGCAGCTCGTTCCGGGACCAGGCGCGGTCGATCTCGGTGCTCTTCAATGCGAGCGCGGTGGCATCTCGCAAGCGCGACTGGACCATCTCCGCCTCGGACGAGTGGTCGGGCGAGCTGATCGATACCAAGGATCTGGCCATCGACGTGCAGGATGTCAGCGTGAGCACCACCCTGGACCTGAGCGGCGGGGTGGAGCTCGATGTGACCAACTCGACGGCGACAAGCCTCTACCTGGAGCTGGATCTTGCCCTTATGGCTGAGCTGAACGTGTCTGCGCAGGCGACCGCCGCCTATTCCACGGATCTCTGGAGCTACACCTACGACGCCTTGTCGGTCTCCGCATTCGAGATCACCGGGATCCTCAGTGTCGGCCCCTCCCTGACCCTGGGCGTCGGCGTCGAATTCGGAGTCACCGGCGAAGCCAACATCACCGCGGACCTATCGACGCAGATCCCCAGCGGCACCATCTACCTCGACCTGCTGCACAGCGGCGCCTCCACGTCGTCGGGCTGGACTCCCACACAGACTGCATCAGCGACCCTGTCCGGCGAGGTCGATGCGCAGCTGAACCCTTTTGCGGATGTGGAACTCGCAGTGGGGATGAATGTCCTCGACGGTCTGCTCGAGGTCTCCGCCGGCGTCGAGGCCAGGGCCGAGGTCGTGAATAGCTTCTCGGTGGCGGGCACCGCGGATGTCAGCTCGACCACGGGTGTGACGGCTGTGACTGGAACGGGTGCTTGCAGCAATGGCTACTGGTTCACGAGCGACTTTGTTTTTGATGTGGACGCGTTCGTGACCGGCCTTTACTCGGTGACTCTGTACACGGTGACGCTTCCGATCTTTGCGACGGACTGCTTGGCTTTTTGATTCCTACCAGGATGATGGCGGTCGACGAATATTGGTTTCGCTGCTGTGTGGGTCCGCAATCAGAGATCGAGTCGGATTTGATGTATTGGGGTTCATATATTCAGCTTGTTCTTGGACACCTGGGATTGTTATCAGCTTAGCTCCAACAATCCGACGATCCACCGCATACATATTGCTAGCAGTATGAGCAGAGTTGCCTCTGTGAAAAAATTACAGATCTTCCCTTTTAGAGCTTGCCCAATAAGACAACTTGTTCATGGAGCGATGCGTGAGAAGGTCGCGCCACCAGGCCAAGTAACAGGGTTGGTACGGGATTGCAATATATGTATATACTTCATTGGTAGTGCCGCCCTATCACCATTTCTCTTCACAGCACCGCAACAAACCATATCTAGACTTACTGAAGTGTCTACTAAAAAAAAAAAGGAAGAAGTAGGCAAAAGATCATGGATCCATCGATGAGGATAGAAACGAGAAGGACGAGGGGCAAAAAAACATACAACAGAAGGGATTCGCTGGTGGTCACCCACCCAACTACTAACCTCCCGGCGTGTGGCTTGAGTACGGCTGAGCGGACGGGAAGCCCTATTTTCCACACCCTGTGGTCGTATGTACCAGCAATAGCATAAAAAGAAAATATGTTCATGGCTTATGAGGGTCCTGCACCAACTTTCAAAATTAGGGACGTGGACGACCCCCGCAATCGGTTAGTATTCAGGATTAAGTACAGTACGATAGCTTCATGGCCTCCACAATCCCATCGCCGCCCTCATCGACCGAATCCCAGACCCCAACCACCGCCAGACCGGCCGCCTCCAGCAGGGTTTGCCACTGCAAACAGGCGCGCTCGATCCCCGCGTTGAACGCCATCATAGTCATATCGAACTCCGCCTAGAACTGGGCGGCCCTCTGGTCCGAGACAATGATCTCATGCACGAGCAGCCTTGAGAACCCCGGGGTTATGGCGGCGGCCACCTGCACAGTGTCTTGGTAAACCTTGCACTGATAGGCAGTAGAGCTTTATCAGTGGCAATTTCAGGCCTAAGGCAACAACTGGACGGGGCGTCTTCTCGCATGGGAATCTAATGATCAAGTAAATACTTATATTCTGAGTACAACCAAGTGTACTCTCATGGCTAAAATAATTCTTTTATCGCCAACTCTTGGGCTTTATCCGAGATCTGATTCTGCTTCACTGAAGAAGTCCTCTACGACTGGGGCAAACACCGACCCGGGCTTTATTCAAGACGGCAAACTCCAATCGCCGATGCGACAGCACGGAACCAAGTTGTCCAGTATATAATATATAAAATATATATCTAGTTCTGAGTAATTGCAAGCTCTTCTTCTAGGAGTCAGATTAAGATTCTAGAGAAGTTTTATAAAAGAAAGTATACAGAACAGTAGATTCCCGAGCTCTCCTTTTATAGTACCCCAAAACCTTATATTACTCTATCCTAATTCAATTCATTAAATTATCTTTTAGTCATTTTTACTTAAATGCTTTATTATATTTACTTGCGATATTCAAACTATGTATACTGATTTCCAGTAGTTTTATCCGCATACTATTTCCTATTTTTCCGGTTTTTATCCGATTTAGATCCGATAATCCTATCTTCTTCCAGTATATATTTTGTTCCGCGAAGAAATCCTCGTGCAGCCGCCAGCTAAACTCAAAGCCTTACGATTAAGTGGATATCTAGCTTGCAGTGGATGCTTTTCTCCATTCGCAGGGCTTTCGGCATAGATTCGCGTACTAATTCATGGCTCCTCGGAAGCAACGAACAAAAACGTAATGTTAAAGATAGACTAGCAAGCGGAACAGAACACAGCAACAACACCGGCTTCGTTAAACGACCCTGGTATCCACGTTGTGCATAGAAGCAGGAAACTTGCAGTCCCGCCCGGAACAACCTTCCCACGGACACCGATGGCCCGAGGTACACTTCTCATCCCTGCACGCAAATCCCATAGTGCAGACGGACTGTCTAGCAATGGCGGTGAGGGCTACTCTCTGCTCTTGAGACAGTGACTCTCCATGCTTGTGGGTGCATTGATCGCCATAAGAGCAGTCTCTCAGGAGGTGAAACCTGTTACACAACTTCTCACGCCTCAACTGCGCGGCGACATGATTAGGGTACGTCAGACTT